TGCGGTCGTGTCCGCACAGGGCCGAGGTCCTCGGGCTCTGGGACCATTTGGACTGCCCAGACGCGGTGTGGCCGCGGACAGGAGAGAGGAAGAGGACCGAGGCATTCGAACGAAGAGTGAGGACCCGGAGGAGCGAAAGGGCACAGGACGCCCCGCCCATCACGAGGAGTCTGCAGCTGGCCCGCTTCCCTGCAAGACCGATCCGACAGCGCAGGGCCATAGCACGACCTGCAGCGGGCAGGAGGCGGATGCCCACGGCAGCGTGCTGCCGCAGGACGTGTCCCGATGAGCTGGAGGCGGGGAGGGGGGGGGAAGTGGGTCCAGACCGCTTACAACCGAGGCTGGCCAGGCACCTCTTCAAGAGTGAGGGGGGCAATCATGTATTAACATCGAGGTGGCGTCGGAGAGGTGTTGAGGAGCTTCTGCCGATCCATCAGCGTGTGGGAGCGGGAGGCACAAGAATTCGGCACAAGTCCGATCGAGCGCCCTGGGACGTCTCGTCCCGCTTGCGGGAACGGCGTGATTCATGCAAACAAGGCGAACGCGCGCAGCGGAAACATGCAAGTAATGAGCACACCCCTCGCAAGACGAGTCGGTCCGAGAAGGAGTTCGGAGAGGGCCTCGAGAGGGGGAGGAGGAGGAGGCCACGGGAGGTGCCAAAAGCAACGTGGCCATCGCAGGACGATGGAGAAGGAGGAGTGGGAGCCACGGGAGGTGCCAAAAGCAGCGTGGCCATCGCAGGACGATGGAGAAGGAGGAGCGGGAGCCGAACCACTTGCAAAGGAGGCTGGCCGTGCGCCTCGTCCGAGCAAAAGAGGTGTGGTGCGGAGGATCGTTTATACCAGCCCATCGGCGTGCGGGGCCGGAGGAGGGAGGGGAGGTCAGGCTGGTCGCGCACCTCGTCCAGGAGGAGGAGGAGGAGGAGGAGGAGGAGGAGGAGGAGGAGGAGGAGGAGGAGAGGGAGGAGGGAAGAGGGAGAGGAGGAGGAGGAGGAGGAGGAGGAGGAGGAGGAGGGAAGAGTGATATGCAGGGAATGCGAGGCTCGCAGAACGAGCCTTGACCTGACCCCAAGGGAGGCCGTATGCTAAGCCTCACGGGGTAGCAGCCAAGGTGTGTCAATTGCAGGGTCGACGGCGGAGTCAAGAACTGAGCAACTCGCCACAGTGCAACGACGTGTAAACGTACCCCAAGAGGGGGGGGAAACGATGAGGGAGGACACGAGAGGGGAAAGTGCCCAACAGAGGATCCTGGGCCACTTCCCTCCAGTGTGCACTACCGAATTCCTGCCAAAAAGGCGCTCACGAGGCTGGCTGGCGTTGCAGTTCGCAGGGGAAGTAGCCCCAGATGACCTGGGAACCTGGACTAACGTTGACCTTCATGACTGAGGGCTTGTGGTTGCTATCAACAAACAGAAAACCAACAGTACACCTTAGGCGATGCTTAAGAAAACTTAAGTTTTCGGCCAGAGTCTCGATTATTCTTAACGTTTCAATGTAAATCTTAAGATTTTAATGGACATGTTGGGTTTTTTATTCAAGTTCTGAGACTATGAATTTCTTAACCCATGATTTCTTAAGCATTTCGCAGGGTGTACGGATTGTCACAAAGCAAGTATAGCGGATGAGAGTTTCAGCCAAAATGGCACAACCCAACAACATTGCTGCGCATCTTCTTGGTAAAAGTCCTCCCGCTCGCAGAGGCGATGAGAACGAGCCTGTTCTTGCACTCGCACAATTCAATCGGTACTTTCCTGACGAACCGCACCTATTAAGCATGCGCGCTTTCTGTCCTGCGGGAAACATTTCCTATGGTGGAAGCCGTGCAGCCGACGAACAAATCCCTCGAAAGCGGAGCCAGGGCCCAAGGAAGCGGAAGATAAGGCACTAAGACAACGGAGGATGTTGATGAGCATTGGGGGCGTATTTACGCTCCGGGCCTTTGGAGGTGGAGGGGAAACGGAGGGGGCAATACACCGTTAGAGACGGCTTGCCCAGACATGTGGGGGATGAGGGACCACGCGTACGAGAGCAATTGAGAAAGCGGAGGGCTGGCCGGTGTTGCGGGGGCAGGCTCCGTCAGAACCAGAGGAGCAGTGGAGGAGGGAGCCGAGGGCGTAGGCAGGTGACTGCGAGAAGACCATCGGCACCTGGGGCGCGACTGACTTGTTGGACAGATGGGTGTGCGGGTCGATGTCCGTAGCCTCTGCGTCTGGAGATCCTGGCACTTGTTCTGAATGAAGTGTGGAAGCAAGGGAAGCCCCCACCTTGGGTGGTAGCCGCGATGCTGCGCAGCTGCGTGCTTACGAAGGAGTTGGCGCACAGCTCGGAATTGTGCTGGCGCGGCCTGCTCCCGACGCTCCGCGGCTGTGGCCGTGCCCTCCACCAGGGAGGGGCTCCCAGTCCACGGCAGTGCCGCGGGAGGAGGGAGGCGCGGAGGTGAGGTGCGCAGCGGCCGAGGGGAGGGAGGGAGCGGGGGGGGAGGGAGGCGGGGAGGGAGGGGAGGGAGGGAGGCGGGGAGGGAGGGAGGCGGGGAGGGAGGGAGCGGGCGGGGGGGGGGGAGGGCCAGGGACGGGTCGGACTGGGCAGGGCGTGGAGGAGCAGCAGGGCGATGGGGCAGCGGCAGCGGGGCAGGACCGGGAGGGGAGCCGCCGGCGGGCCCGGCGCAGGGCGAAGAGTCTGGCGCCGAGCACGCCGAGCCCACGGAGCGCTCCAACCGCGACCTCTTCGACGACGGCCCAGCGGAGCCCATCCTGCCCACGGCCGACGCGAACGAGCCCGTGGAGGCGCTGGTCGGAGGTCTTGTAAGGGTCATGCGGAGGTCCTGTGAGGGATTGCATGAGCCTCACGGCCAGCGCCGCCGACCCTGAAGGGGAACGACGACGACGACGGCAGACGACGGCAGACGGCAGACGGCAGACGGCAGACAGCAGACGGCAGATGGCAGACGGCAGACGACGACGACAGACGACGATAGACGACGACGAAGACGACGGCGACGAAGACGACGGATGGACGGGTGAACGGACGACGGACGACGACGACGACGACGACGACGACGACGACGACGACGACGACGACGACGACGACGACGACGACGACGGACGACGACGGACGACGATGGACGATCGCGGACGACCGCGGACGACCACGGACGACCACTGACGACGACGGGCGAAGACGACGACGACGTCGTCGACGACGACTCAGACGACGACGACGACGACGATAACGATAACGTCGAAGACGGAAAAGCGTCTAACACACACGCCAGCAGGGTCGGCGGATTTTTGGAGGGATTCGCGCGCCTGCGGATGTTTGCGAAGGTCTTCGGGTGTCCGTTGTGCCGACAGTTGGCCTTCGGAGGTTTTCAATGGTCTTCGAGGGTGCTCCGAGGTTTTCGGGGGTGTCCGACGGGGTTTTCGGAGGTTCTCTGGCCCGTCTCGTGCTCCTGGCGCCCTCGCGGATCGACCCGGCCTAAGAAATGCCGCAGAGAGTTGGGATCCGACATATCCGGTCTGTTGCACGATGTCGTGGGATATTCCACGACGCCAGATTTTCTCGGGGGTCCTCGGAAGATTCTCGGGAGTTGTCGTCACTTGACTCTTGAAGGTTTCCGCGGAGTGTTTGCCATCAGATGTGCTTCGTCGAGGGACATCTGGGGACGCCAGACGCATCTTGGACGGCCTCCCCTGTCCCAGCGAACAGCCAGAGAACCCAGACCTCTGGCGTCGTGAAGCGATCAGGACGGCCAGCTCTTTGGAACCTCTGGGGCTCTGGAGCTCCGTGGCCCGTTGCCCGGTTGGCCCTTCTTAATGTTGGGCGGAGGCCGGATTCCGATATGGCGGCCTGTGGCATGAGGCCTTTTCGCTTTTGAACGGTGTTCGTTGGCAGCAAGCGAGAAGGCGCGTGGCAATGGAGCATCGGATGGATTTGCGACAAACATCCGCGCGTGCACGATCGACAGCTGAACGATATGGTCTATGCATGTCAGGGCGGTATTCTCCCCTGCAGCTGTAGTCCGCGTGGAGCAGATCTGCGACACGTCGCGATCCCGAGCAGCATGCAGAGAACGCAGAACAGCGTTCCGCATCCAGCACCGCGATCACACATGTGACTTCGTGCCTGGATCCCGTCACAGTTGGCTGTAGGCGAGGCTGGACGCCACGGTTTTCAGCGGCCAGCGAGGGGTGGAAGTGAGAAGGGGCGGGCTCTCTCGGAAGATTCGGAAGCCCCCCGGCCCTCCGAGAGGTTTTCGGAGCCCTTCGCGAAGACACGGAATCTCTGTCAGAAGGCCCGAGGCCGTCCGAGAAGCCCTGCCGCCTTCTGAGAAGCCTGTTTTCCACCACCACCACCATAAGTTGGCGGGGGGAAAGAGGTGGAGGATGAGGAGGAGGAGGAAGAAGAGGAGGAGGAGGACCCCCTCCCCCTCCTACTTATGGTGGTGGTGGTGGAAAACAAGCCCACCAAAGGCCGTCTCCCTCTGCACTCGACGTCCACCGTGCCCCGCCCGCCCGCCGCGCGCCGCGGTGGCGACGCCGCTCGGGGCGGCGGCGGTGGAGCGCCGTGGGCGAGCGAGCGCAGCCCGGAGCGTGCGCTCGCCCGTCGTCCGTCCACGCGCTCGGCATCGCTCGGACGTGTGCATGTTTCTCGTCGAGTCAAGAGGGGAAAAAACACACAGACACAATTATTCGTCGATTCCCAGAAAATACGCCAAAATATGGGAAGTGGGGGCGAAGACAAAAACCCAGAAAATATGGGACAATATGGGGAATCATTTTATTTGTGTGTATTTATTTGTGTGTCCTGGGGCCCCTTCATCGAGGGCCACCGAGGAGCATGTTGGATCATCTGACGTGAAAAAAGAGAGAGAGAGAGAGAGACGCACGGAATCGAAATGTGCACGGGGAATGGGCGTCCGAGGGATGGCCTGCTGGATCGTGCGCTCGCCCGTGGTCTGCCCACGCAGCGCAGGGCGACTCGGACGAGGTGGAGGACCGCAAGGACTGCGCGCGGCCGCCCCTGCTCGTGCGGGCCTCGTGCGCGCACCAGCATCGTTCGCGAACGGAGCAGGAGGGCCAGGAGGGGGGGGAGGGGGGGGAGGGGGGCCGGGCGGAGGAGGACAAGAAGGGGGGGAAGGCGCAGGGAGCCAATGCAGGAGGAAGAAGAGGAGGTGGGGAAAGACGAGATGGAGAGGGATCACGATTGTGGGGGAGGGGAAAGGTGCTTAGGGGAGAAGGGAGCAGGGAGGAAATAGTGACCACGTACGGTGTGTGCTTCCAATCCGCCTGAGTTGCTTGGTCCTCGCTTTCTCTCCGCGGCGCCGCGCCCCATCTTCTCATCACCTCCTCTTCCTCTCCCTCCCCCCCTCCTCCCCCTTCTCCTCCCCCTTCTCTTCCTGCCCCTGCCGATTTCGGCTCGCCCCTCGCGCGGATGGTGTCTCCATGGGAAGCTCCACCTACGGCCTCAGTGATAGCGCCCGAGTGCGGTGCCTTTCTGCCCATCTCGGCACGCCCCACGCCGATCGTACCCCATAGGGGTACCTGCACCTCCGGGTCCGGCGGGGGCGCCCACGGATGTGTTCCCTCCCGCCCCCTTTGGCACACCCGTCCCACCGACCGTGCCCCGTAGGGAACTCCACCTCCGGGTCCGAGAGGACGAGTTCGCACGCGGGCCTCCGTCCAGTTCGACACCTACATCTTTTTCTCCGGCGCGACAGTTTTTTTTATCCACCATGTGGAGGCGTGCCCAAAGACGAGAACCGCAGAGAAATTCTTGACGCTTCGCGTATCCCCACCAGCAGGTTTCGGGCCTTGCCCCGTTTCCTGGCACCACCTCGCGCAGCCCGGCAGCTCAGGCAGCTTAGGCAGCTTAGGTTCGGCCGTCGGTCCCCGTGCGCTAGGCAATTAGGCTCGCGCGTAGCCCGCCCGACCTCTGACGCTGCTGGCGCGCTCGCCTGTGGCCGCGACGAAAAAACGCGCTCCAACGGGTCTTACGACTGGGGGTTCCTCAACACGCCAAAGAAGACCAACGTCGCCCTGACCAGAGCTAAACGGTTCGTGGTCCTCATCGGGGACCAGCGAATGTTCAAGGCTACGACCGAGTTTGCTCTTCGGACCCTCACCGAATACGGCATGGCCGCAGACATCTGGGTGAGACCTGCCTCCACTGAGCTTTGGGAGGTGCGCAACAGGGGATGGAAGCCTTTTTAGCCCACTAGCACGCTGGGACGCAACTGCTGAAATCGCGACCGCCATACCGGGCAGCAGCCCAACCGCAACAACACCGAGTGCTGCATCCAGCATCCAGAAGCAGAAGGTTTAAATGGGAGGGGACAGGCCAAAGGTTTCGTCTAGAGCATCGAAGGACCGCTACCAGAAGGGTTTGAATGGGGAACCTTGGGAAAGCAGATCAAAAAAACTCGCAAAGGGCGGTCCTGGCCGCACCCGCTCTCTTGCCTGTTCTCTTCCTTGTTTCTGGCCTTCACCCGCGCGCCTTGGGCCTTGCGCGCTATCCCAACGATCTCAATCTCCACGACAGGAGAATGTGGAGCCACAAAGGGTTGATCTACGATGTTACAATCGGAACTGATGCCGGCAATCTGACATGCAACATTCTCTGGGCGTGCCTGATGCGTGCAGTCGGGCTTGGCCACAAGTGGGGCGACGAGAGCACCTCGCTCGCGGTGGCCAACCTGCCTGGAAAACCAAAAGGCTGTCTACAGAAGCGCGCATCCAAGGACTGTCGGGGCTGGCCAGCTGGCACGGACAAACAGCTACCCACGGTATGGAGCGCCATGACGACACAATGTCCAATACACCAACTTCATCCAGGGATGGACGGCCTGGAAAACATCATCAAAGGAGACTACGCACCAACTGACCCCACCGCACGTGCTCAGACCTGCACGGCCCTCACGATGATAATGCTAGCGCTTCGGGAACCAAGGGCTTTTTTCCTCCCAATCTCCGAACGAGAAGGGACAGGGGATACCGTGGAGGCCGTCCTGGGCATATGCAAACCTGGCAGCTCAACTGGCACCGCATCCGTTGCAAAGGACCTTCATTTCCGGACGCAGTTTGGACTGACATGGGATATTTCCCATCGCGACTACCATAATCTGCATCGGACATTCACTGACGCGCCAAGACACGTGGGCGTGCTTCTAAGCACCAACCACCATTTCTTCAACGCGGGGAGAATGCATGCGTTCTGACTTTCACATCAAAGGGATCCTGCTGGTGATCGACCTGCTCATCGAACCGCTCCAATTACCGCTGGCTCCTACCAACGACCAGCCTGACAACGAGACAACCAGCTGCACCATCTGCTGGCTCTACAAGTCCAGCAGAGGGAATCACAAGCATCTCGGGCGCACGCCGGACCAGAAGCTGCGCCATGCTGGCGCAGGGCGAGCGATGGACCAACAGGACTTTCTCATATCTGAACCCTTCACAGCGAAACTGGGCGCCACAATGACACCGAACAGGCTCCGAACAGGAGGCCGGCGCTTCTCGGCGTCGCAGAACACTGCCAGCTTCTACTGCGACGACTGTCAGAGAGGCCCCGCCACAAACATCGAGGGCACCTGGGAGGACAACGACATGCGTCAACGTCTGGCAACGACAAGGATTGCAGGGCGGCGCGAGGGACTCAGCTGCCGTTGGCTGCGCACTGGGCGCTGGGTGGAGAACCTCGAAAAGCGCGGCGCCGACGCCCCCGCAGGTGACTCGACGCGCGAAAAGCTGGCCAACCTACGGAATAGCATGCCCAGCAGGCCCACAGCTTCCAGTCTGGCACCGCCTGTGCACCTCCCAACCAGGCTTGCCAAAATCGCAAACCCAACCGCCGATTGCCTGCTACGCGACCTCCTTCTCGCACCGGACTCAGCCAAGGACCCCGAGGTGACAGGCGCGCCAAATCCCCAAGCGCGACCCGACGACGACCGCTTCGGCACAGAGGGATTCCAATCTGGGGTCTACAGTGCTGCGCGCGACGGCTGCCCAGAGCCCAAGCTGCTATGCGCCTGGAAACACGGGCAGCCAGCGGTCGGGCGCTTCGTCTGGCGACCGACTCCTGGCATGGAGGACGCAGAGCAGTGCAACCTACCTATCTGGGGCAACTGGATCGACTGCTGGACGAGTGGCGATTGCAACGCTGGCTGGTACTGCGGGAGCTTTCTTGCTCACATCTTTGACGCTGCCCCATCCGTCATCAACCGCGTCATTGCGCGCGACGCGCCATCGATGTATCCAGTCTCCCCCGCGGCACGGACATCCAAGAAGAGAAAAGGACGCGGGGGGCTTCGCCCTCGCACTTGGCAAAGAAAGAGCGCAGGCACCGCGCGGCGACGACGGCGACGGGCGCGGGTCACCATCTGAGACGTCGCCACTGCCCGAACCCAATCCAGAAAGAGTTGACGCAATCAAGAACATGTTTCCGGACATCAGGACCCCGCAACTGCCGGGCGCGACTTGGTCTTCCAGGCGTGGATCCACGACGGAAGCGGCACGCAGGGGCAAATGCCAGTTCTAATGTTCCTGCACCTCAGACGCACCAACTCAGTTGCCAACGACACCTTCCACGTGCTGGAGAACCAGTGCGAGGTGCCAGACAACGGGCTGGACGTCAACTGGCTCGACTTTCTGGCCTGCTCCACCTTGGCCTTGGCGTCTCCTCCGTCGGGGCTCGCCGCCGACGGATTGGTGCCAGGCGCGGAATGGGGCGACAGGAGAAGGCCCGCTGGACTGCTCGCGCAACGCGACTTGACATCGAGGACGCCCCCGACCATGCGATACGTCTGGGCAACGTTAGCATGGGAACACTGGACACGTGCACGCGCCCGCGCGGGATTGGAACTCGACCAATCGCCCCAAACCGTATCGCTGCACCAGACAACATGTCCTTTCAGCAGCTCATGGAGCGAATGGCCACGTTGGCCGATGACGTCAAGGAAAACATCTCGGCCCTGCGCGGCCCGGGCTCCCAGCGGATACGCGACGAGGAGAAGAGTCTGGGCCCATTGGTCAGCGTGGTCATGAACGCCTCTCTCGGGAGGTACTTATTTCCTGCCCACCCTGGCACGGACTTAGGCGGGCAGCCACTGCCCCGACCTGGAGGTCTACGAATAGCGACGAGAGATCAGAAGCGGCTCAGGAAGCGAGCCTGCTGCCGCCATAGATGAACTCAGGGGGCCGGGCGGCGACGTCCTGGACTGCGACCCGACGGCCCGAGCAAGGTGAGCGAGGAGTCTGAAGCGGGCGAGGCAGATGAGCCTGAAGGAAGCCCAGCTACAGGCGAGGGTCACAACGCCGGGACGGCTGACGACGAAACATCCAGCGTCGCAGACGATAGACCCCCGCTGCCGAGGAAGCGAGATCCGCCACACTGGGCCCCTCCAGAAGGGCACGTGCGAGGCAGGGAACAGAGCAGCAGACGAGAACAACGAGACGCTCCCATTCAGCACGCCGCTGATGACAGGACTGGTTCCTCGCGCGGACACAGGGACCAGTGGAGTTACGACAGGTCCTCAGACCGCCGGGCCACGCAGTCTCGCGACGACGCCTGGCGTCGCCAGAACGCACGCACGGGAAGCGACGGGATATTCAATCATGGCAAATGGGTACCCTTCTCCAAGAACCCACTGACCATCCACGAGCCCAAGGAGAACGACGGGTCCAATATGTACAAGGCACCACTGCGCACGATCGACTCACAATGCTCCTGGGAGTCCGACAGCGCCTTCGTCTCCAGGATGCAGAGGGAACTAGGCAACTGTTCAGCGACCTGCGGGTTGCACACTGTACCAAAACCTGCCCCACTAACGCCCGGCCGACTTTCAACCCTGCACTGCAGCCGCCAGGCGCGCGCCGAAATTTCCTCCACGCGTGGGGGGCTGCAGACTACGACGTGTACCGCGCCGACCAGATCACGCATTCCAGGGCCAACTTTCGCAGCCCAACTGACAGGCTCACGGCAGTCAGTAACGCTTCCCGCTCAGGCGC